TCGGGATCCGAACTTCATCACAAGGGGGTCCTCTGGCTGGAATTGTGATGGCGGCGGGAGGGTCTACGCACGTCAAAGCAAAAGGGCGGTCGGCGGAATTAGACACGGGTTCGGGGGAAGGGATGAATTATAGCGAACGGAGGAAGGGGAGGAAGGGGAAAAAGGGGAGGAAGGGGAAGAGAAAGGGTTGACAAGTTTGCTTGAAGGGGAAGATGATGACAAAGGAAACATGGATAATGAAGAGGAGGAAAGGAAGGAAAGAATGGAGGGTTCTGATATGAAGGACAGTGACGAGGATGCCGACTCTGATGATTCGTCCGACGAGTTCAGGCGACTGTCCAGACATCATCATGGGCATAATGTCGATGCCGACGAAACGGGGATGGAGATGGAGACGCAGTTGGTTCATGACCTTTCCACAGAGTGTGAAGACTATGAAGTTCAACAACTTCCATCTGCAATCGAAAACCAAGAGGGGTGCCATGAGGTTTTCGTTGTTGTCAGCCCGCCTAAACCGAGTCGTCGTATAAGCATAAAGGAATTTATCGATAGCATCCTCAGCGGCCATCAGGCGTCCATTCATCCTTCTGCCACATCAAACGTTGATGGTCTTGACAACGTCACACCTTCGGTGCTTGCTGATCTCACTTCGAGCTCTCCTGTAGTGGCACGCACCTTTGCGAGCGGAGAGGAGGGCGAAGTCGGGGGCTGACAACATGTCACGTCCCCGAAAAAGTCTAGCAACGGCGCTCCAGCTGTGGCGGTGGTGGGATTAGCCGCACCGACTTCACCAACAAAGGAGCAGAGGGATAGACCGGCTGGTAAGCTGCGAACAATGCCACTCACCTTTGAACACCCACAAAGACGAAACGCGAGAGCGCGACTTTCGTCGTAGTCCAGATTTCGACACACTTCAATCCACACCATGCACAATAGGAATGACCGCAGTGCCTGTCAATACGAGGAACTGCGGATGCCGGCAGACTTGAACCGCCACTCCTTCCTGCTATATGAGATCGGCCCTCCAGTGAGTCGACCAGGTTGCTAGTCGGGGCCAGCCTTGAAGGAGGGGTGGCTTTCTCTTGTCAGAAGGACTAGTGGTTTTAGTCTGCCGGTATCCGCACTTCTTGTGTCGATGCGTACTGCGGTCAGTCTTTGTGTGCATGGTGTGCATAAAAGTCTGTCGAAATCCCAACTTCGGTGAACATCGTCCTTTCGTTTCTGTAGCTTGTTGTAGTATTCCTTTGTCTAGGGCAGGGGTGTCTAGCTCGAATGCGCTCTTCGCTATGTTGTTCAGACGCAAACACGCTCCTCGGTGCTCAGCGCCATGCGAAATCGGTGCTCTTAGAGAGGTTCTGCATCTTGTAGGTTGTTCCATTATTTTAGATTCCCCTTCCGTCGGACTTGTGTTGGGATACGGAGATTGTCGAGATATCCGCACATATATTGCAGAAAGTCCCCGGGTTGACGACAAAAAACAAGAATATGTTAAACGCATCAGGGGTTGATGTCGAGATCAGAAAGAAAGAGCATGCCATAACCATTGAGCAGTGTCTTTCCCTCATGCCCCCTAAGAAGGGGACGTATCCACTATTTGTGACTAGAGGTCAGACCATGTATGATAAATACTCAGCAATCTGTCGTGCCATGAAGGACAATCCTTAGAGCCCCGTTTCTCATTGCCCCGCTTATGCGTTGCTCGGTGTTGTGCAGTGTGCATCACAACACGTGGAGCACGCGGGGGAAACTTTGCTTCAGTAACTCCGCCTCAACGTGTACAGGTTCTGGACAACATTATGCGAGGCTCGGTGCCGCCTCTAACAGTTCTCGTTACCCTCGTCGATAATCACTTGCGCATTGCAGCGAAAGATCTTCTCACCCTTTTGCATATCGAGGGCAAGGTAAATGATGAAGTGGTTAATTTCTATATGGCGTTTTTGGGATCGACCATATATGCGACATGTGATATGTCGTCAAACCTTCGTGTCTTCAACTTTGATTCATTCTTATTCGGTAAATTGCAACTTCAAGGACACAATTGGGTGAAAAGGTGGGCAAAAAACATAGATCTACTTAAGTACGATATTATCTTTGTGCCTGTCCACAAAGATAATGATCATTGGATCCTCCTCTCCGTCAACTTAAGCGACAATGTCTTGGAAGTTTTCGATTTTTTCATCATGTTTTGCCTTATATGGATTTTTACCTTAGCCTTTTCGATTTGATTGTACAATATTTAGAACAGGAAACATTAGATAGCCGGTCAGATAGGAGTTGGAAGTCGATGGCGGCGAATGTTGTGGTGGAAGGAGTTCCCAGACAAGTGGATGGAGCAATTTGCGGGGTGTTCATGTTGATGTTCACGACACTGTTGCAACGTGGTGATCAACCACCTTTCATGTTCTTTCATACAAATATCCCGCTTATTCGACGACAATTGGCAACCTATATACTAGAAGGCCGTTGTCTTTGATGGAAATGTAGTGCTCCCAAACTTTCTTTTGGCAGTGTTTTATTCATTAATGATTTGTGATACATGACATTATTCAACTGTTATTTTGACAACAATCTTGGTTTCTTTAATTGTTACGAGTTTAAGTTCTCTTTGGCATGCTCACTACCTCTCTTACGTCATGTGCAGACTTCGTGATCTCTGTCGTAAACATGTCGTTTTTTATGCACCGGAACTTGTTTGCATTGAATTTCATATTTCAAATAATTACGCAGGACAACTTAAAGTGAACATATGATTGACATCAGATAATATCCGAACTTGTTTTGTTATACGACAAACTGGTGTGTGGATGCAAGTCAAACCTCAACAAGTGGTTCTTTATGCAAAGGTCGCTAACTTACCAACTCTTGCGTGTACATCTATTCAAATGTCTGCTAGCATTATATGTAACCAACAACTTTGCGTTCATAACCTTAAATTTTGTGGGCCGCAAGTTGAAGTGCGGGTTCCATCGAAAATATGCAACATTCGAAGTTCTTGTGTAATATGATGCGTATTGTTGCGGAAAAGGATGTATGTCAAAATTAAGTGGTTGTTAGAAAATAAAAACGTTTCTTGTCTAACCAATAGTCATCCACACCCAACACATAACTAACTGTCCATATTGTCGATAAACATATTTCAAGTATACTTTGACTAGTACTCTAATTGTTATTGTGCTTAAAGATTATGGCAGAAAATAAAATTTTATATATCCAACAAGGATATAATGACACATTGCTCCGCACAATTATCAACAAGTCTAGATCTCACCACACATCCAAACAATTGTCAGGGGCGAGAGGATGAGCTTGCCTATCATTACAACTCTAAACACGTACGGATCTCATCAAACATCCACATAACCTTATCGGCCGAGAGGATGAACATTCCTGTGCAACTTAGGAATAACCTAAACAAACATATCCAACAAGGATACAATTATGACACCTGGCTCATCATAATTGTGAGCAAGTATGGATCTCAGCACACTTCCGCATCTCGGGCGAGAGAATGGGCGTTTCTATCATTACACTTCTAAAGAAGTCAGGATCTCATGAAACATTCAAACAACCATCTCGGGCGAGAGGATGGGTATGTCTGTCCAACTTAGGAATATTAATCTAAAAAACTGAAATATCCAATAAGTTCATAATGATGACACATTTTCATCACAATTATACACAAGTATGGATCTCAGCACACTTCCGCATATCGGGCGAGAGGATGCGCGTGCCTATCATTACCATTCTAAACAACTCTGGGTCTCATCAAACATCCAAACAACTGTCTCGGGCGACAGGATGGACATGTTTGTGCTATGTAGGAAGAAATATATCCAACAAGCCTTATGATAGAATCATAACACCTGACTCATCACAATTATAAACAAATATGAATCTACACACTTCTGCATCTCAGGCAAGTAGATGAGCGTGTTACACTTACACTTCTAAATAAGTCCGGATCTCATCAAACATCAAAAAAATTGTCTCCAGGGAGAGGATGGGCAAGCCTACGTTGCTTATGCTGCAGCCAAAAGTGAATTCGTTAGAAAGAGGACACAATATAATGTCATATTTTAACAAATAGCATGTTGCTATCTGGACAAATTATTGTTTATGTTTATTGGTTTTTCGTGCGTATCTTCATTTCAGATTTCATGACCGGTTCTGTGTGCTGTTGTGGTGGGATGACATATGCAACCTGCTTCTGTAGAATCCCAACATGCTTTCCGTCAATCCATGATCAACGCATATCTCTTGCATGTCGTGAAGCCAATGTGGAGAACAAGAACAAGTGAAACGCACACAAGGAGACTGCATGACACGCACGACAGATCTGTCCCACAAAAGATATGATGACATCCTATGAATCCATGATCAACGCATGTCTCTTGCATGTCGTGAAGCCAATGTGAAGAACAAGAACAAATGAAACGCACACAACGAGACTGCATGACACGCACGACAGTTCTGTCCCACAAAAGACATGATGACATTCCTCACACCAACATATGACAAAATCATGACACGCATCGTGAAAACGAATACAACAATAAACTGCCATAAGGTGTAAATCGTCCGAAACAACAAGGAGTAGCATGCAGTGATAAAACAACGAGGTGTGCTAAACGCAAAAAAAAAAAAAAAAAAAAAAAAAAAAAGGTGCAAATCATTCATCCCGTGCTGACGCGACGGGCGACACACTACACAGCCACGCAACCGTCGAAGATTCTGGCGAATCCATTCGGCCAACAAGCTAACCGGCGAAACTACAATTACACAATCGAAATCGATCAACCCGTGCCTATGCCACGGACGCCACAGTAAACCCCTGTACAATGATGAAGGAGGAAACCCCTGCACAATGATGAAGGAGGATTCTGGCGAATCCCGGCGGCCGACTCACTAAAAAGGTGCGCCACAGTCCAATCACACGACAGCCCGTCACGTCTCGCCACGAGTACATGCGCCTTCGTTCTTAGAAGCACAGTCTCCCCGCTCTACTTCCGCAAACCCGCCGGCCTTATGCGTCGTCCTTTCCTTCGCCTTTGTTCTTATCATCGAGAGGGCCCGAACCCAACCAATCCAGCCTCTTCACATCCTCCGGCCCCTTTATGCTCGCGTCGTCCGCAAATCCGATGCCGCATGGTGCCCAATCAGGGATGTACTCGGGGTACACTCCGAGCGTGGCTTTCGCCTTCCCAAGCCTCTCCGTGACGACGTTCGTGGCGCGGACGACGAATCGTCGATGATCGAAGGAGCGATGTATGGAGGCGACTAGTGTCGGCCTGGCGACGAGATCCGCGAAGTAAAAAGCTTCGTAGTGGCTGCGCGGATCGTCTCCCGCCATGCGCATTATCCACATGGACGCCGCCAACAATAGCCTGAAGCAGTCAGCCACCCGACATAGACGCTCGTAGGAGATGAAATCGTCGTCGATGTGAGCGCCCATTTGCACCGCCGTGCGGAATGAATGCGCGATTTGGATGACGGTGGACTCCTCGTGCGCCGCCATGTCGTTGTCCTCAAGTCTGTCCTCGATATGCGCGCCGGCGTACCACAGTGGAAGGTCCATGTTCAGATCTATCGTGTGGGCGCAGATCGCCGCGCTGACGACGTTGCACCACTCCTCGCCGTACCACATTGCACGTGCAATGTCTGTCGCTACGGACTCCAACGAGTACTGGAAAGCAAGGTGGTACCCCCTTGGGCGGTTCCCGGACTTGAGAACCGAGTCGTGCAAGATGCGCAGAGCTATATTCTCCACCGCCGCCGCACAGGAGATCGCTTGCTGGAGCTATGATGGGTCGGCGATCCTCGCCACCCTCATGCTGGATTTGGGGAGGACAACGCTGTGTGGAAGGTCAGGCGGCGGAAGGCCGCTGGCGATGGCGACGAAGTACTCTCTGGTTTCGTGAACGATGTTGTAAAGTTTGCGGCCTTCACCCGTCAACCAGAAAGCTTTGTCATCCACCCATAGCAGGAAAAGGTCGATGAGCTCTTTTGTTCTGTCCACGACCCTCCTCTCTCACCATCGTCGGAACTGCACCCTCCTCTCTCGCCGCCGGAATGGGATCCACAACACCTGCAACACCCACACCCGCGCCACCTGCCGCCTCGCCCCCTGCTGCTCGCGCGTCTGCCACGACCACCCCCCCACCACCGCATTGGACAGACGCACCGTCAGCACCGTCGTTGCACTGACGTGGCTGAGACGGCGTGTTGGGCAGTGTGACTGTGATCGGCCTTTCGTCTGTCGCAGCGCGAGCCGTCGACACCGCCGCTGGGGTCGCTTGTGTTGCATTGCGCAGGCGACGTTTTTCCAAAGGATCGTCGTCATCGCCGCCAAGGTCCACCACAACACCCTTCTCTTTCCACGTTTCGCGAACTCGCAGCTGCTGCACCTCTGGCGGAGGGGTAAACATCATCTTCGAAGCGCTTTGATCTGAAGAACGCTGCCTACCACTTTCCCGTGCTGCAGATGCCGTCGCCTCGCCTTGCTCGTCCTCCGTCGTGAAATTGTCGTCGGTGTCCTCTTCCGTGGCCTGCGCCCAACCTTGCGCTCCACGACGCGACACGCTTAGTGACTCATCATCCAAACGAAGCCTCTTCGCCTTTGGGACGTGTCGTTGACCTTTTCCCTTGGCTGGGCTTTTGTCAACCGCGACGTCGCGCTTCTTGCCACGGGCGTTCACTCACGTAGACATGCTTGCTGTGGACCTCTACAGGCGATCTCGTCGGAGCGGTCGGCTGACGTGTACTGTTTCGTCGATAAAGATGCCACCCGTCTCTTGCGAGCTTGGCGAGAAATACTACTCCGACGACGCTCAAGATGTGTCCTCCGCTGCTGGAAGACGACGACGCGCAAGCGCACCAAGACAGGATGATGACCCCGGCGACACCTCTCCTTAGCGGGGACCACGACGGCGAGCAGATGAGAACAGCGATGGCGGGGGCGCTCCGCGGCAAAAAGAATGACGTCCGACGGCGACGAGTGCGACAGAAGAACAACCATGAACCTGGAAGCACGCCGTGGCGAGAAGATCGACTGCGAGAAGAGCGGAACCGATGACGGTGAGAGCGGCCCGCTTCCACTCTTTCTGACGGCCGACGTCCACGTCACGAGATGTCTGTAATGGAGACAGCGGTGGTCGTCAAAGGCTGTGGACATGGAAGCGTGGAGGAGGCCACAATTATACCCGGCGAGAAGCATTGTGGTACTGCAGATGTGTGGCGGGAAGTGTGCAGCTGGCGCGGCGGGCTTCGGTGGTGGACTCACCCTCGTGCGTACGACATTTATGCTGCTCCGGATGCGCACCACTGGGATGAAAGTAGCAGATGGACTGCCCACGACCTCGCCTCAGCGTGGAGGGAAAATGGAACGACGACGGCGACACTTGTGACCGCCTTGCCTCTTCTAGCGTGTCGTTATGAAGCTCCTGAAGCCATGAAAAGGCCCTTCCACGTTCGCTCGACGAGCGAACGCACTCCCGAAGGAGCAAAACAAAGACGGCCCGCCTTCACCCGGGGATACCCCATCGCGCGTACCCCTTTTCGCCAACGACCCCTCCATAACCCCCATACCCCCTTTCTCTACGCGCCCCCTCCCCAAACCGCCTGAACTGCTGACCACCGTCCACAATCCGCATACCACACACCCCCTTTCGGCAGTGGCTGTATCTTTGTCGACCAACCAAAACGCAGACGATGCGTGGTCATCAAAAACGCAGACTACCCCAAAATATAACAAACAAAACACACACACACACACACACACACACACACACACACACACA